CCTGGAGGGAGGGAGGAGGGAAGAGGAGCGTGCCCCAGCCCTGAGAGAGGGAGGAGGAGTGTGCCCCAGCCCTGGAGGGAGAGAGGAGGGAGGAGGAGCACACCCCAGCCCTGGAGAGAGGAGGGAGGAGGAGGAGCACACCCCAGCCCTGGAGGGAGGAGGCCCTGCCCACTGCAGATCTGACTTTCAGCCTTGGAGCCACCTGTCCAAGGCCACTCAGTGCATGGTCCTCTGCTGCTGCCTCCAGCGTCTCAGCTCTGTGCTTCGCAGCATGACTTCAGTCAGGCTTTGAGGTCGTGCCCTCTTCGGTCATGGTCTGAGCAGCACGTCAGATGGATGACAGGGACTGGGAGGACTGGCCCACTCTGCAGGCCAGGGTGGATGTCCGCTCGAGGATGTCATTGTCCTGTGAGGGGAAGGAGAGGAGCGGATGGCTCTGGGGGCCGTCACTGTCCTGTGAGGGGAAGGAGAGGAGCGAATGGCTCTGGGGGCCGTCACTGTCCTGTGAGGGGAAGGAGAGGAGCGAATGGCTCTGGGGGCCGTCACTGTCCTGTGGGTGGAAGGAGAGGAGCGAAGGGCTCTGGGGGCCGCTGGCCCAGGGTCTGCCTTTGGTTCTGCCAATGAGCGTCCTTGAGGGCCGAGGCCTTGGTGACTGCTGTTGTGGGTTCCTGGTCTTCAGGGGGTCTTGGCCTGGCTACCTCCATCCCCGACCTGTTCCTTTAGTTTCTGGATAAGATCTTCGAAAGTCCCTAAAAACTTCATTTGAACAGTGTCTCTGTGGGAGTGGAGATGCTGCTGCGGGTACCATGTGCTGTCCCGGAGGCCTCAGGGCGTCAGGTTCTCTGCCCCGGACCCTGCTGCCTCTGTGACCGGGAAGGACCGTGTTGCCAGGTGGCACCACAGCCCGGCCTCCGTGCCCCGGAAATTCCCTCATGGCTGGCGTGTGGATGAGGGTTGAGTCTGGGTCGTGCTGTGCGGTGGAGTGGGGTGGGGATGGCCTCTGCCTTGCGGCCTGTGGAGTCCGCTGTCCATCCCTGAGCCAGGCTTCTCTCCCACCTGCTGGTGTGGGTGGTGGAGCACGGTCTCCACACAGTGTGGCTGCTGAGCGAGGCCAGATTCGGGGTGAAGTTCAGAGGCCCGGACCTGCCAGGCCGTGCTGCATCCACACCAGCCTGTGCCCGTGCGCGATGGGCTGTGCACGGCCAGGGCCACCACGTGGCACGAGGATGTTCTGGCTGCTCCTGTGGGGTTCAGAATGTGTGGCCGCTGAGCACCAGGCCTCAGGCGAGGGGCCACCTGCCACCCTGTGGTTGCTCCCGTGGTCCCCGTGGCACTGACTGGTGCCAGCCGGTTCCACGGAGGAGAAGCGGAGGCCTGGGCAGAGGGGTGAGGTGCAGGCCATGAGCTGAGGCTGGGCCCTACAAATCTCGCGTGTGGCTAGTGTCGCGTTCTTCAGAAGTCACCTTCCTGCCCTTCCTGTTGATGCTGAAAATGTCTGGAAAGGCCCAGCCCTGTTCCCCAGCCGAGGGGGTTTGTCCCTCTGCGACCCGCTGGCTGCCCAGTCCGTTCCTCCAGCTGTTTCCTGGGACGCCCCCCATGTGGTGAACCTGCTGTCACCCTGACACGGCCACTGGGTCGCAGCAGTCATCACTGCCTGGATCAGTGAGCTCCACGCTGGGTGGGGTGGGGTGCGGGGAGTGCGGCCGCAAGAGCCCTGTGAGGGCGGGGCTTGACGTCGGTCCCTGGGGGGCAGTGACCACCTCTCCGCGTCTGCTGGGCCACTGGTCTGAACCGAGCACCAGGCAGGGCTGGCCAGGCTGGAGGTTCCCGGCGCGCCAACCCCCAGTCGGGTCTGACAGGTGTCTCTGGGGTGCGGTTGCCCGGGGCTGTGGAGGGACCATCTGTCCCAGGTGAGGACAGGAAGAAGGGGGTCTGAGACCCTTCAGGGACAGGCAGGGGTGGCTTCGCGCGTCTCAGAGCAGGACTTAGCAGCACACTGTCCAGTACCAGGCGTCAGTGCGGGTTCAAGAACCCCCAGGTGGACCTGGAGTCCGCTGTCCACTCCTGAGCCAGGCTCCTCTCGCACCTGCTGCTGTGGGAGGCGACACCAGCCCACAGGGTGTGTCCCGGAGCTCCTGCAGCCGCCGCGGTCCCCTGGCCTGCCCCCTGTGGCACGTGGGCTGTCAGATCCCAGATCTTCTGGTCACCCCCCCATCCCCAACCCGATCTCTGTGCAGAGGCTGCAGGAGTTCGAGACACGCTGTGTCCTCAGGGGCTGGTGACCAGAGCTCAGCCTCCTCAAGACGGCTTCCTAATACTAGGAAGGGGCACTGGGGCCACTGCGTGCCGTTCGGGGTTGGGGGTGGGGACTTGGGAGGGCCCATGCAGGAGGGCAGTCCCATGGCCTGCAGGGATGGGTGGGGACAGCCTCGGAAGGCAGGGCTGGCTGGGTGAGGCCCTCCGAGGAGGGTCCTTCCCACTCAGTCTTGAGCCTGGGGGATTGAGGTCTTGGTGCTTGGCATGAAATTGCAGATGATCACCTGCTCCTTGAAATCACCCTCCCGGAAAGTTTTTCAGACAGTCGAGCGTGCACACGTGGTCAGATGCTAACACACGCTTAGGTATTTAAACTCCGAGGGGCAGCAGCAGCACGCGGAGGCGAGGACCCAGCTGCAGGGCTGTGGCGGGGTGTCCCACCTGCGCGTGCTCGTTCTGCCAGAGAACAGCCGAGCCCCCCACTGCCTGCTGGGGGCTGCGAGGGTGGGCTGGTGGTGTCCTTCCCAGGCTCCCCCAGCAACTCCCATGCCTTCTGCCCTTGGTCTCACTGTACGCCCAGGCCGGACAGTCGTCGTCCTCAGCTGGGCTTCCTGCGCTCTGCAGCACTGAGTGGGCTGTGGATGATGGGGGGCTCTGTTGACAGGTTCCGCGTTAGACCCACATCTTAGCAATGTGAATATTGCTTCCCTAGAGAAGGATCTGGAAGAGCAAGACGGCCACGACCTGGGACCAGCAGGTGAGGGCGAGGAGCACCTGGGGCCCTGTTCCTCCAGCCGCTGAACAGCTAAGCGCTGCGGCAGGAGGATCGCTTGAGCCCGGGAAGGTCCAGGCTGCAGTGAGCGGGGGTTGGACCACTGTGCTCCCGCCTGGGCCACAGTGCAATAGCCCGTATCTGGTTTTGGGGGCGGGAGGGCCCCCTTCTGGCGGTACCTCCTCCTCTCCCTCACTGCCCCTCCCCTTCCCCCCCTGCACAGGGACTCCTCAGCCTCTCTCTCCCGCCTCCCACTTCTTCAGTTGACCTTTGTCCCAGCAAAGTGGCCCTGCAGACAGGCGGGGCTCTCCCTGAGGAAGGTCCTGATGGTCTCCAAAAGACAAATGTATTCACATTGTAGACAAAAGATCAACATCCATACAAAAGTTTTTTTTTTTTTTTTTTTGAGACGGAGTCTCGCTCTGTCGCCCAGGCTGGAGTGCAGTGGCTCGATCTCGGCTCACTGCAAGCTCCGCCCCCCGGGTTTTATGCCATTCTCCTGCCTCAGCCTCCCGAGTAGCTGGGACTACAGGCGCCCGCCACCTCGCCCGGCTAGTTTTTTGTATTTTTTAGTAGAGACGGGGTTTCACCGTGTTAGCCAGGATGGTCTTGATCTCCTGACCTCGTGATCCGCCCGTCTTGGCCTCCCAAAGTGCTGGGATTACAGGCTTGAGCCACCGCGCCCGGCCACAAAAGTCTTATCCTATACAACACCCTTTCCTTCAGCCTAAAGTGTATCTTTTCTTTCTGACTTGAAAAGAAAGTAAACTATTTTAGCGGCCCGGACAAGTGCTGGGAGGACTGTGCTAGTGGCTAAACTGGCTGGCAGAGCCTGGTGGGTGTCTGGCCTCTTGGGGGGGGCCCACGCTAAACCCCCGTGTCCCCACCTCTGGTTGAAATCCCTTTGAGCCCATGGCTTGCCCAACTGTATGAGACGTGGCCACCCGGGGCTTTGTGGCTCCACACCCATAGAAGGTGGCTGCTGGCCTGGCCCCCCGTATCCCCACCCCCCATATCCCCACCACCACCGCCTGCAGGGTCCGTCTTCCGTGCCTGCCGCCCGCCGGTGGGCAGATGTTTGGGCAGAGGCCTAGCGGTACTTCCTTCGCTCACTGGTCTGCCCCTGCCAGGTCCCAGGTCGCTGGCCGGCTCTGCGCCTGTTACCATACCCGGCTCCCTGCCCCGAGCACCATCGCTGCACTCGCCGTCCTCCGCGTCCACCTCGCCACTCAGTTCGCTGTCCCAGCCCCTGCCGGGGCCGGTGGGTTCCTCGGCCATGACGCCTCCCCAGCAGCCGCCACCCCTGCGTTCAGAGCCGGGTGCACTGGGCTCTTCAGCCTCATCCTTCAGCTCCTTAGGTGAGTGCCGGCTCCCTCCACGCAAGTGTTCCCATGAAGCCTCCGTGGGGCTGCCTCCCAGAGGCCACCCTGACTGAGGGGCCCCACACGGAACCTTGTGCCCCATCCATGGTGGCAAACCACATGGCCTGCTGCTCACAGGCTTTCCCCGCCGCAGACTGAATCTTGCTCTGTCACCCAGGCTGGAGTGCAATGGCACGATCTCGGCTCACTGCAACCTCCGCCTCCCAGGTTCCAGCAATTCTCCTGCCTCAGCCTCCCGAGTAGCTGGGATTAGAGGCGTGCGCCACCACACCCGGCTAATTTTTGTGTTTTTAGTAAAGACGGGTTTCACCATGTTGGCCAGGCTGGTCTCAAACTCCTGACCTCGTGATCTGCCCACCTCGGCCTCCTGAAGTGCTGGAATGACAGGCTTGAGCCACCGTGCACGGCTGTTTGTTACGTTGTAAAGGAACTAACACTTGGCCGGGCTTGATGACTCAAGAGCAGCCTGATCAACATGGAGAAACCCTGTCTTTACTAAAAATACAAAATTAGCTGGGCGTGGTGAGTTGCGCCTGTAATCCCAGCTACTCAGGAGGCTGAGGCAGGAGAATCGCTTGAACCTGGGAGGCGGAGGTTGCGGTGAGCCAAGACTGTGTCGTTACACTCCAGCCTGGGCAATAAGAGTGAAACTCTGTCTCAAAAAAAAAAAGAAAAAAAAAGACCGGGCGCGGTGGCTCATGCCTGTAATCCCAGCAGTTTGGGAGGCCGAGGAGGGCAGATCAGGAGGTCAGGAGATCGAGACCAGCCTGGTTAACATGGTGAAACCTCGTCTCTACTAAAAATAAAAAAATTATCCGGGTGTGGTTG